AAAAAAAAAAAAAAAAAAAAAAAAGACTCAAGTTCAACAGTTTTACATACCAAATTTTAATGACGGAATTTATTTATTAACGTATGCTGCTAAGTCAACTTTCCTGTGGTCCTAGAAATAAAGCTATTCCTACAATCTCTGTAAAATTAAAGTCTCCTAAAGATCAGAGTGCAACATGTAAAATAAACCAATATAAACTATTACCACTTGCAGCTACTTATCTACGTAATTCAGCATTTTCAAATACTTTACAAATATCAAGAGGAGTCCAAAGCCCTTTTAAACTAAGTTTATTTGTTGTTCAACATTGTCTTCTTTGGTTTATTAATGAACCCTATAAGATGTTTAAATTATAGGGCTGGGCACAGTGGGTCACACCTGTAATCCCAGTGCTTTGGGAGGCCAAGGTGAGAGGATTGCTTGAGGCTAGGAGTTCAAGACCAGCCTGAACAACATAGGGAGACCCTGTCTCTAGAAAAAAATTATGTTTAATTAGCCACGCACGGTGGAATGTGGTCTAGCTATTCAAGAGGCTGAGGCAGGGGGATTGTTTGAGCCCAGGAGTTCGAAGCTCTCATGAGCTATGATCAGGCTACTGCACTGCAGCCTGGGAGACAGAACAAGACCATGTCTCTAAAATGTATAATAATAAATAAAATATAATAATAATAATAAAATACATAAAATAATAATTACATTTTAAAAGTTTAAATTCTAAAACTTAACACCACTCAAACATTACTTTTACAAAATGTATTGGATACCATGTAAAGACTGTGTTTCAAGAGAACATTTCCTTGGGAAATAAGAAGAGACTGCTGGGCAAGATCGTTTCTAAAGGTGATTATTAGTCTGATATTCTTGGCCATAATATTGAAAATAGGCAAAATGACTGGACACGTGTTAGATTGTAAAATACCAAATATTGCAAAATCATCATCTACAAGGCATGGAAGCCTGGCAATTACTAGTGTTTCCAGTGTCACCGTTTTGAGCCCAGTTTAAATGACAATACATCTTTTCTTCACTGTGAAATTTATGTCATAAAAATGTTTTAATAGCAGTATAACAAACAGTAGTATAACAAATGAAATATGATGCTGGATCTAAGACTAGACAATATAAATTCATGGCAGCTGACCAATGACTTTTTTACTCATCAAATTTCTGAAATCTACTAAACTCACCAAATTCCATTGTCATTTATTCCAATTCTAGGGGAAATTTAGGAAATTTTCCTTGTCAAGTTGCAACAGGTCTCAGGTTCTTAAACCATGGTTTTGTTCATTACAAATGGAGTGAAACCAAAGTGAGAACAAGCCATCGTGAATAAGCAGGGACTTTTTAAACACTGAACTGAGAGAGTAACTGCAAAGCAGAGCATAATTTAAAGCCAGGTAATGCCTGCAACCACAGGCTAGAAACAAGATCCCAAATGTAAAAGAAGACCTGCCATTCACACATACTCTTTTTGCATCAGAAATTTAGAGTAAAACTGTGTTCTGTTCTCACAGTGCTGCTT